CGGAGGGTCGTTTTTGCCGCCTAACTCGGACACTCGGATGCACCACAGGGCAGCTCACAGGCAAAAGCCAGAGGAGGGGTCAAACAGGAGCAAGCGAGCCAAGTGAAAGGACAGCGTGAACCCCAAAAACAAACAAACCACTGCAGCAGTTCGGGCTAGCGTTGGATGAGCATGCGGCCTTGGGTTTAGGGTTTAGGGTTTACCTTCTGTTGTCGTCTTCTGAGGGCGGTCCGTGATGAACTTTGTTAGATCATTGGTGCATCCATGGCAGCTGGCTGCCGTTGCGCAGTGAACTCGTCCATGTTGTTTCAAGGTTTTGGGGGGTAGCGGGAAAAACAAAGCCAGATGGAACCCGCCTGGGCCAGAACGAATTAAGCAGGGGAGCAAGAAAGTTCTCAAGCCTCCGAAACTTAATCCCCCACCTCGCCCAAAGCCTAAAAGCAGAAGAGAGTCCCCCCTCCTGCCAAAAAGCCTAAAGACCTCGACAGATGAGAGTCAAGTTGCGCTCCCACTCGCCGCCATCCTTGCCCAAGGCAGAAAGCATGTACGCCAATCCTGAGCTCACGATTCATTGGTAGTTCAGGGATTGGGGGCCCTGTTGTGGGTCTTATGTCTAGTACGGCACCTGATTAAAAAGAACCCCCAAAGGGACCTTAATTTAGAGAACTACCCTCAGAAGGCAAAAGTTCAGGGCTTCGTCCAACTTTCTATACAGAAGTTCACTGTATTTCGTTTCTTTGTGCTTGACTCTTAAACTGGGCACGACTCCTGCAAAGCTTGCGGACAAGATGCGGTCGGCAAAGTGAGTAGTCACCGGCAGCCTCCGCAGCAGAAGGTTGCGCATGATACGATTAGCAGTATCAAGATATTGATAGTCTTGTTAATATGCTTACTATTCTGGACATTCATAATTACTGTCATTTATAAGGTTTAATAGCATTATTCTTGATATGAATAGTATCACGAATATCCATCATTACTGTCATGATTCATGGCAACCTGAACCCCACAGGCCCCGCTAAAGCACACAACTTGGGCAGAGCACAGGGACGAGAGCTTGAGGACACTGCAGGGGCTTTGAGGATCTAAGGTTGGTGTAGGGCTTAGGTCTTAGGGATTTCAGGCTTTAGGGTCAAGTAGCGGATCATCTGCAAAAGCCGACAAGATCTGGTGTAAGGTTTAGGGGTGTGGAAGGCACAGCAACCTTGGAGCCTTAGGGCTTAGGGGGTCCGTTTCTGCGAGGGTTTAGGGCAGGCCTTGGCCTATGCACTGCATTTCCTACAGCACATGGCCTGGGCAAGGGTGGCATAAACTGTTGCATGAGTGCAAACAAGGATTTACGAATAGGGTTACAGCGTCTTGAGGTCTTTTGCAATACGCGAGCGGTTATATACGAAAAGGAGCAGGTCAGGTGTAAAAAGGAGCAGCTCATGGACGAGCAGTTCTCCTGACAAAACCCGCCGGCGACCTCCCACCCACCTCAGATGGAAGCAACGCTTGGGCTAGGTAACTCGGCTAGCTTTTCGTGATGAACTCAACGTTTCAACCCTATCACCCTATGTACACCCTATATGAGCACTAATGTTAGGGTCCCTTTAATAAACCCCCCCCCAAATCTTGTTTTGGTCCCCGGGGTTTGGAGGGGTGGAAAAAAAGACGGGGTGCCAATAATGAATTCTGGGGGTCTGGGGGTCTGGGGGGGGGTCATCTGTCAGAGCAGACCCAGCAGACCAGTCTGGAGGCAGCTTAGCTTCTCTGTGTGCTTCTTGCTTGAGAGATGAAGCTCAATCTGTTGAAGAGGTTCTAGGTAAGGAAACCCTGCTCTCAGATCCCCCCCCTCCCTCGCCGAATTTATTATTGCCACCCTTTATTATTGTCATTTTGGAGGCCCGTAAGGGGTACCCTTGCCGGACTTGTTTTCGAGCTCCGGCGGATAAGGATTTTAGTAAGGAAACCTAGCTTTCAGACCTCTGCCGGTTTCCTGAATTCCAGGACCCGAAGGCTGAAGTCTTAAGCGAGACTTAGACCAGGACACGAAGGCTGAAGTCTTAAGCTTCAGGGAGCAGCCCTGAAACAGCAGTTTCTCGCAGCTCTGGAGCTGCAGCCGTAAGTCTTGCCCGGCTTCTGTGCTGCTCTGAGAGCAGGGGCCTCCGTAGCAAGGCTCTCTTTCTCAGCCTCTGGGAGCTGCAGCAACCTCAAAAGGCACCTGATACCTGCTTTCTCTGAAGAAACAGCCCTGAAACAGCAGTTTCTCGCAGCTCTGGAGCTGCAGCAATCTCAGAAGACAAGCACTCTCAAACGAGATCTGCTTCTCTAAAGACTGAGCCTCGGAGCTCTTTCAAGCCAGCTCAGCTGAAAAGTCTTCTCTGCAATGGAACTCTTAAGCGATTCTCAGTAAAATTTTCCATTCCAGGCCGGCAGAATTTTATAATTACCACCCTTTATTATTATCATCGCACACCCCAAAATAGACTTGTTTACATACATCGGCCCGAAAACCTCCCGTAATGGAAAGTAGTCTTCGGCTGGACCCCTCTGGCCCGGCGAAATTTAGTATTACCACCCCAATTAAAAATGGGATTCTAACATTACTGCACTATATAAACCCTATAAAGCCCATTATCAAAATAAACCCCTGTTTACCCTAACACACTGTAAACCCTAACACCAGCTTGAAACGGAGCATGACCTTGGCCGTTTCATCGCCGAACCATGGTGGAGGTAGCTGAGGTCAAAAACCGTCTGCACCCAAGCAAACCTCAGGGTGACTTTATTGGGCAGGTTTGGGTTTAGGGTTTAGTGTGTAGGGTTTAGGGTTTAGGGTTTTCCAAACACATGGGCACGTTTGGTTGTTCTTAAAGAGGGGGGGGGGGGCGTCCTATGACAAGGTTCTACTTTTTGGAACACCCTTTCATCACACCAAAAACACCCCAGGCGCCTAGAATAAAAACGAATGGTCTTGCGCAGGAAATTGCTAGAGGGCTCTGGGACCTGGGGTTTTGAGCCTTGGGATACTTCCGATGTCCTGCAGGGTTTAGGGTTTAGGTTTTAGGCCCCTACTCCCATAATTTGCAGCCCTTTTGCATCCAGCCGGCACGCCCTTGTATGCATGGTAGCCCAGTAACCAAAGTATGATCAGGGCACCCTTTTTGGGGTTGGTTATTTTGCAAGAGAAACCATAAACAAAAAAAGGGCAAATAATACCACTGGGCTACCAAGTATGTGGATACACCAAGGGATCTCAGACAACTTGGGCCTTAAAACCCAAGAGAATCGACAATGGGACCATACGAGTAAACCTTTTTTGCATCCAGGACCCAGGCCCATTAGGGCTTAGGGTTTATAAACCTCAAAACTCAAAACATCGTTTTGCGCACTGGAGGTCTGGATGGTGCAATCTGCCAGGGTAAGCTTGATGGTTTTTTGCCGCCCGCCTAGCCACAGCATTGCGAGGTCCCTAATTGAATTTGAGGATGCCGAGCATCAACAAGGGAAAGGGTTTATGGCTTGGGTTTGCGCCCCCAGTGCTTGGCCCAGAGTCAACCCTGGATGAACATACATGCTGACCAGCTCATGCTGTCATGCTCTCGTTGCGCCACAATCCTCATGGTCCGCAAAGCCTATCAGGAAGACCACAATGCAAACCAGAAGCTTGTCCATCGCAAAGTTGCTCTGTGCGGCATCTCCAAACACACCTGGCAGAGTTACGACCAAAAAGCTGCCCCTCTTGGGGAGCGAAGGAGAAAGCCACAGAGCAACCCGGGACAAAAAGGGCACCCTTTGTGGTTCGAAGGGGCTTATGAGGGAACCCAAACCCTTAAGAACAGGGAAAGAGGGCCGAAACCCTAAATCCCAAACCTAAACCCTGAGAACAGGCAAGAAGGGAATAAGGGCCTACTCTGGCTCCTAGGCTTTGATAGATTGGGGGGCATCCTCCACTTCAAAAAACTCTGGTCAATTCTACCCCATAAGCTAGCCTCAAGTCCGAAACTTTCAACCCGAGCAGGGGGTAGACTGAGCCTTGTTTTGTGCGGGAAGCTATTTGATTACACCCTAAGCCCTAAACCCTAAACCCGGTCCCGCGGCACTCAGGGCATCTCACGTCAAAACCTTTGAGCCTTGCCACAGATGGGCTTCGGCTGTCACATTCAGGCACAACCCTAAACCCAGGAGCGCGATTTCGGGTACGAGATGTGCACGGGACCTCGGCGAGAGCGCGACGTGGCCTCTGCCATGAAGTTCAATTCTTTAGGGTTTAGGGTTTGGGTTTTAGGGTTGATCTTTGCGGGGGCCAGCGCGTGGGCGAGAGGGTTGCAGGCACGCGGAAGCATCGAGAGAGTCATCGTTTGAGATTCGCGCGGGTGCACAGGCGAGAGCATTCACATCGATGTCGGGGGCCGTGCGCACCCCCAGGTCAACATTCACCATAAGATCCACTATAGGTCACCAATTCAACGCAATGGTACCCTGCTATGGGCTACATGGTGTGCTACTATGGGCTACATGGTGTGCATGATAAGGGACCCTTACCCCTATAGCAAACGGATTTAATTGCCAAACTCATCTAGGGGCCCTAGATAACAACATGCCAAGACCAGATGAATATCCTTCACCTCAGCCTGGTATTTGGACAACTGCCTCTCACACCCCCGCCACCTGCGAGTCGCAAGCGGATGGGATTCCTTGCTCGCTTGACGCTTCGGGCGGCAAGGTTTGTCAGACATTGGGTTGTTGATTCGGGCTTGGGTCAGGGCATTTGTCAAATCCGACATGGCTTCTGCACCCTCTGCTTCAAGAAAGAGATTGTTCGCCAACGTGGGGACAGTTGCAGAAACGGACACGGTTCGGAAACTCACATGTCACGCCCTGAGAATGTCGTGTGTGAGGAGTTTCTCCTGGCCGAAATGCCCCAAACACCAAAACTCGCCAGCCCACAACTTCTGGGCATTTTTCGAAAATCGAGGCCCTCTTGTAAGACACACATATAGCCCAATCTCACTTCATAAGGACCCCGGAAATTGGCACCCGAATGCTGGGAAAGGCAATGGCGGCAATGCCACGACTCGAATCCTGCGCCGAAACCACGAAGCGCACCCAGGATCCCTGTCATCTTGATTGCCCCCCCCTTCGCCCCCTGCGCCAAGCCACGCGGTGCCCTGGAAGAGGTCCTTGCTCGATGCCAGGAGCGCTTCCTGGAATGGCTTTTTGATTTGGGGTCCAGGTTTGTCGAAGGTTTGGGGAAAGCTACCTGCTGGCGCTTGTGGGGCAGTGGTGGAGTGAAATCCCCAAAGCAACTCTAAACCTGCAACATAAAAAACAGCAGTACAGCGAACGAATTACCCCCAACCCCCCACCCCTCGACTCAGCCAGTAGCGGGTTACACAAATAGGAACTGCCCCAACCCTCTCTAATTTACCCCCAGGGGACTTCTTCTGAAATAAGGTCCCCTTGCCAATGATCCCATCATAAGCACGGGACCCTAGGCCAAATGAACTCAAGAGGGTTTATGGCTCACATACCTTTTTTGGGGTTATAGTAGTATTTTTTGCCACCCGCCTAGCAGACCCCGGAGGGATCACTCCGCAGGGAACAGTCGTGGGTCTATGTGGTTCAGAGGCAAAAGGGGCCCCGATGCAGTCCAACAACCCTGTTCCGGTACAACACCCCCACTAACCCCATACGTACGCCAGTGACGGTCAGGACAAACTGGGTTAGAGTAGTATTAGGGTTTAGGGTTTAGGGTTTATGATCTCGATGTTGGGGTTCATTTGGTCCCCTAGGTAAGAATCCAAAGCACCCAAAGAAGCTAAGCTCGAGATTCAGGCTTTAGATTTGAGGCACTAGCAAACCTAAGCCCAAAGCCTATCGATGGTAAGATCCTAAACCCTCTCTCGGTCTCTCTCGCGTGTCCTAGTAGCCTAAACTTCTAAACCCTAAACCCTACATTTTAAACCCCAAACCCTAAACCCTAAACCCTAAGCCCATTAACCCCGCACCCCGAACCCCGAGCCTTGTCACTTAAGGCCGCCATCACGCCGGCTTGGGCAGACTTGGTCCCGTCGTAAAGGCGGGGCGAGCCTCCAGCCCACTTCACCTGATGGGTTCTCGGGGGCTCGGGTTGCAGTGCATGCATCATATTCTGAGGAAGCCGGAGCTTCCTTAGGGTTTAGGGTTTTTTTTTCCTTGGTACACTTCTCGATTTGTGCGTGTCATCCTTGCACAGGGGCCATGCTAATCTTCTCTGTGTCGTTCCAATTTTATCGGATGCCATTCGGGGATAGGGTTTAGGGTTTCGCTCTGCTCAACCTCACGACCTTCTGCAGCAAGGTGTGCGGAAGCTGCCTCCCTCTGCCCCAGGCCTTAAGCCAGTGAATTTTACCAGGAGAACTCAGGAGCTGAAAATGAACCCCTCCCCCCTTCTCGCCCCGGTCTTGCTGTTGAGTTTTAGTCACCAAGATAATCATACACCCTCCAGTCAATTTTTTCCAACGCCTAAAAGGGTCCTTAGACCAGGATGGGTTATTAGGCCTTAAAATGCCCATAATGAACCCGATAAAGGGCCCTTTAAGGGATTGTAGGTTTTGATGGAATCCCCATAATGAACCCTATAAAGGGTCTTTTAAGGGATTATGGGGTGTAATAGCACATCCTGGTAGACAGCCCCGAGAGCTGCCGGGGCACGCACTCCACCAGCACAAAGGTGGTGGAGCTTCCGCCCTGCGGCTTAGAATCATGGGAGCAAGCAGGGTTTAGGGTTTAGGGTTTAGGGTTTGGGGTTTGGGGTTTGAGGTTTGGGGTTTAGGGTTCAGGCCGACGGCTTACAACCACAGCATCCCAACAGGGGATGGGCCTTTTAACCTTGAATTCTGGGTTTCCTTCTGGGCATCCCGGAGGATCACAATTGCAACCAGAACATCATGGGTTTCCCTATTGGAAAAATGCCTCAGCCCGAAGCCCTGTGCCCTGAACCTTCAAAGCCTCAATCCTATCACAATGCCTCCAAACCAATTGGACACCTCATAGTGTTACTTCTGCGTGACCCTGAACAATCCGGAAGCCCCGAGTAAACCACTAAACCCTAACCCCAAACCCTACACCCCAGCCTTGAGTGATACCCTGAAACCCTGAGCCCAGAATTCTTTTCTGCAAAACCCTCATCTCCTTAGGTTTCGACTCGAATTTCGAAGCTCTTCCCCCCGAACCTCCCCTAGGGATTAGGGCTTTGGGATTCCTAACTAACCCTAACCCCCAAACCCCATACCCAATCACCCCACAGGGAGTCGTCGGGCAATTCAATAGCCAGGGGGATGAAATTAGTAATTAGAACTCCACACAGGTTCCCAACAGCACATACTTATGAGTCAAAAAAAAGACACGGGCCCCAGATGGCAAAACCGAAAACAAAAAACACATTTCGGAAACGAATAAATACTTTGGATGAGCCATTTTTTGCCTCGCGCGCTCGATTGCATGCTGCACGGCCTTTCCTGCTCCCCACTGTGAACCAAGCATACAAGGGTGGCCGTTTCTGCTTTGTATGGGTCGTGCAAGGGAAGCTAACCCCTAAACCCTAATACATGGAAGAAGGGTGCTATTAGGTTTCCTTAGAGGCCAGAATGCCTTGACCACAACACCAGCTCTTTCAATGAAAAGTCCAAACCCTAAAATGCCCGGAACAATGACGTAACAGCCCCTGAATAAACCTAAAGCCTCTGAACATAGTACGGAACTACGAAAAAAACTAACACACGTAGGCACACACACACACATATATACGTCATATACGCAAAAAACAAATCTCTCCACTAGATCTAAACGCCAAGACAGCCCTTTAAGCCGTAAACCCTGCAACCCTGCATAAATCTTGTTAAACCCTGTCAACCCTATGAGCCGTATAGACCCTACATAGCTTATAAACCCTAAGCACCCTAAACCCTAAACCCTAAACTGTATACCCTAAACCCATTAGACCCTGAACCCTACAAACCAAAGCTGGCCTCACTGGCGGCCAGCTCGCCGTGATAGCGCTGCAAGGATTCGAGCTCCGCCTTCCTCCCAGGGTTTAGGGTCTAGGGTTTAGGGTGTATAGGCATTGTAGTGGCTTCGGGTTCAAAAGCACACAGACAGTTCTGCCCTAAACCCTTTTCAACCCAGACCCGGCCAAGCTTGCAGCCCCAACCCCCAAACCCTGCGGCTGCAAGTGGAGGCAGAAATGGGGAGGTTGCCGAACATAGGGAAGAAAAATGTACCCCTTTTACTTGGGGGGTACCCTCATTTCGGAAACCCCCCAAGTGGAGGCAGAAATGGGGGGTTTCCGAACATAGGGGTACCCCTTTTACTTGGAATTGCCCTCATTTCGGAAACCCCCCCATTTCTGCCTCCATAGGGGTACCCCTTTTACTTGGGGGTACCCTCATTTCGGAAACCCCCCAAGTGGAGGCATAAAAACCCTAAACCCTAAATCCTAAACCCTAAACCCCTAAACCCTAAACCCTAAAATGCCGTTCAACCCAAATCGAGAGCCCGAGCGGCGGGAACTCGCCGTCGCGGTGGATGATGAGCAGTCGTCCCCGTGCGAAACTCGCCGGAATCATCTCCTCCCCCACTTACAAGCATTTAGGGTTTCGGGTTTAGGGCTACTTGAAGGTTCATGGGTAGATAGACAGTAGAATGATGAGACTGCCGGGCGCTGCGGAAAAAAAACCGAAACATTCCTAAACCCGATAAACCCTAAACGCCTGTTTCTGCTAGGCACTTTGCAAGGCAATGGCCCGAACAGTAAAATAAGTTCGTGCTTCAGACTTCACCAGGCGTAGTATGGGTACCAGAACCGTAACAAATAGGTGCTTTCGGGTTTAGAGTTTAGCGTTAAACTCATCCCAGCCCTTATAACACCCCAGAGCAACAGGGCTTAGAGGTGAAGATGTTCGAGTCGAAGTGAAGCCAACGATCCGTAGACCCGAGTCCTCAGCCCGATACCTCCCCAAGCCACGGGTTTCGAGGGTTTAGGGTTTAGGGTTTAGGGAAAGCCCCTCCTCCAGACTCTCGGAGGGCACCGTCTCGGCCCTCACGTGCCTGAACGCTGCTGTGCTGAGACCATCTTGACGATCCGAGGTATGACCGGAAAGCCCAGAAAATCCGGATCCCATTATCTCTGGAATCCACCCCCCGGAAAACCCACATGGGGGGTTTACGCAAATTAGGGGTGCCTTATTGGGGTCTGATTATAAGGGGATCCTGTTGAGGGTCCCCTTTTTTCGTATACTTCCCAAAAAAAAATAAAAAAATGCTGGGCATGGTCCAGGATGCTCTGTCCGAAAGGTGATTCGACTCAGGAGCCAAGGATCTGAGTCACTTTCGCTGTCCACCTGGAACTTCGGCGTTTAGGGAGTTTTTGGCGGCTGCCAAAAAGGGTTTTAGGATTTAGGGGTTTCGGGTTGAGGGTTTGGGGGTTTGCAAGATTTTTGTGCTGAGGCCCTGCAAGGCGTTCGAACGGGGGCGAAAGAGCTTAGGAACAAACGATGTCCATGCAAACCCAGTAGCGCGAATGGCTGCTGCAATAGAGATGGGCTTCTTGAAGTCTCTGGGGTTGCGCAGGTGGCAGACGTCGTAGCCAACCACGCCCACCCGGATGTCCTGCGCAAAGAATCCCTGAACCCTAAACCCTAAACCCTAAATTGGGTTAACTGACCATGGCGCATCTTGGCTAGGGCCCAAGATGTCCTTTGTAAGGTACCCATTCTCAACCTAACCGCCTTACCAGGATGGGCTATTGGGCCTTAGAATCCCCATAATCAAACCTATAAAGAGCCTTTTTAAGGGGTCAAAGGGTCGAATAGCCCATCCTGGAATGTTCCCATCAAGGTAGGACATACGCGCAGCTTGTGGCCCATTCGGTTTATGAACCCCAAGCACCCGTTTGCAAGGGATTTTGAGTTTGGGGTTTTATAGGGTTTCGGGACACCCTAAACCCTGAACCTTGCAAGCGCCACTTGAGTCTCCTAAAATCCCTTATACTTCAACCCTTACAGTTCAACCCTTATAGTTCAACCCTTATGGTTCAACCCTTATGGTTCAACCCTTATAGTTCAACCCTTATAGTTCAACCCTTATACAAGGTTAATATAGGGATTACTATGTCTTATTCTTTTGGGGTTCTTAAGCAAATAGTAATTATAGATCAAGCCCTGGAGCCTCCGGCTTGCCGCGGAACCAAGGCCGAACATCGATCGCCCAGGGAGCGTGGCCGAGCCTTTGCAGGAATTTATAGGGTTTAGGGTTTATAGGGTATAGGGTTTAGGGTTTAGGGTTTGCTCTCATCGTAGGATAGTAATTCTACGATATTATTCGGCTCACATTGGCAGCATCATTGCTTTGCAAACCCGAAATCTGAGCCCAGAACCGGGGAGTCCAGGCTTACTGTAACAATAGAGTCGTATATTAAAATCTAATCGCAGAATAATATAATAGTATGTCGACAGTAGCTGCACGATAAATTTTGGGGCGAAGCGCGTGAAGACGTGAAGCGTTTCTTTAAGACGTGGATCTCCGCAAAGCGTGTGAAGACGCCACGCGCGTGAAGACATGACCTCCGGCGCAGCGCGTGAAGCGCGTGAGGGGGGTGGGGGAGGGGGGGGGGGGGGGGGGGGGGGGCGTCAGCCGAATGGCGTCAACGGCGTCACCCTAATCTGCGACGTGAACGAGGCCAACGGCATCGACGGCGTCACTCGAGTCCACAGCGTCGACAGCTTCTCAGGTCCGCGGCTCCAACGCAAATTACGTATTGCCTGTGGACATCACTGCAAAATTATATATATATATATATATATACATATATATATATACACCTACATATATATATATATATATATATACACATGGTATATGGTCACCCCCCCCCCCCCCCCCCCCCCAATGGACCCACCGCGGGCCTTGATCTTTGCAAATTTGCAAATACCGCTAAAACCTATGCTGTCTGGTGATTTTCCGGTGACCGGAATTTTGACTGTATTCCTTAATTCACTCACACACACACACACACACACACACACGGAGGGTTTTTCTTTCTGTTGGCTTTTGTTTATAATTTAAGATTTAGGCATTTAAACCTAAGCCTGCAAAAAAGCCCTTAACCTTTAAACCCTGTAGGGTTGAGGTTTCAAGGTTAAGGGTTTAAGATTTGGGCATTTGAACCTATGTCGGCAATTAAACCCTAAGCCCTTAACCTTTGAATTCTATAGGGTTAAAATTTTTACAGGTTTAGGGTTTAAGATGTAGGCATTTAAACCTAAGCCTGCAACTAATTTTAAACCCTTAACCTTTAAACCCTGTAGGGTTACGGTGCCTGTTTTTAAATACCCGGACATCTAAACAGTCAAACAGGTATTTCATACTACCTCCGTGGAGCGCGGCGTCAGGCCGCCCAGCGTTTTAAACATCCGGAAATAGACCCTCCAGCAAGCCTTCCCGCGCCCAGCCCCCCTCCAGCCAACACCCCCCCTCCAGCCAACACCCCCCCCCCACCAACCTCACAATCACCCAAACCCCCTCCAGCCAACACCCTCAAACCGCCCTCTCTCGAGCCCCCAGCCAAACACCCTAACCACCCCTCCAGCCAACCCCTCCAGCCAAACCCCACATCCTCCAGCCAACACCCCCTCCCCCCCCCCAGCCCCCCCCAAAACACCCGCCTAGCCAAGCCCCCCTCCACAGCCAACCGCCCCCATCCAGCCAAAGCCCCCTCCAGCCAACACCCCCCCTCCAGCCAGCCAACCTCCACCCAGCACCAGCTAACCCCCTCCAGCCAACTGCCTCCAGCCAACACCCCCTCCCCCCCAGCCCCCCCCAAAACGCCCAGCCAGCCCCCCCCAAAACGCCCAGCCAAGCCCCCCTCCACAGCCAACACCCCGCAAAACACCCTCCAGCCAAAGCCCCCTCCAGCCAACACCCCCCCCCTCCAGCCAGCCAACCTCCACCCAGCACCCCGCCGGTTTCCACCAGCCAACCCCCTCCAGCCAACCGCCTCCAGCCAACACCCCCTCCCCCCCCAGCCCCCCCCCCCTCCACAGCCAACCGCCCCCATCCAGCCAACACCCCCAAAAACCCTCCAGCCAAAGCCCTCTTCAGCCACACCCCACCCAGCACCCCCTCCAACCCCCAGCCGGTTTCCACCAGCCAACCCCCTCCAGCCAACCGCCTCCAGCCAACACCCCCCCCCCCCCCCCCCAAAACACCCGCCTAACCAACCGCCCCCATCCAGCCAACACCCCCCCAAAACACCCTCCAGCCAAAGCCCCCTCCAGCCAACACCCCCCCTCCAGCCAGCCAACCTCCACCCAGCACCCCTCCAAACCCCAGCAGGGTTTCCACCAGCCAACCCCCTCCAGCCAACCGCCTCCAGCCAACACCCCAACTCCAAACCCACCGCCCCCAGAAAACTGGGTTGGCTGGAGGGGGGGGGGCTTGGCTGGAGGGGGGGTTGGCTGGAGAGAGGGCGGTTTGAGGGTGTTGGCGGGAAGGGTGGAGAGGGGTGGGGGTTGGCTGGAGAGGGGGTGGGCGGTTGGCTGGAGGGGGGCTTGGAGGGGGTGGAGTGTTGGCTGGAGGGGGCTTGGCTGAAGGGGCTGGAGAGGGGGTTTGTGGAGCCTGGAGGTGGAGGAAGGGTTGGGTTTGGCTGGAGGGGGGGCTGGAGGGGGGCTTGGCTGGAGGGGGCTAGTGCATAAACACGAAAACATGCGGATTTAAACTGGTCTTTTATACTACCCCCCTGGCCGTTGCTGGTTGGCCGCCCTCCACTTATTTAAAAAACGTCACCGTAAGGTTTAAAAGGCTTAGGGTTTAAGATTTAGCCATTTAAACCTGTAGCCAAGCCCTTAACCTTGAAACCCTGTAGGGTTAAGATTTTAAGGTTTAGGATTTAAGATTTAAGCATGTAAATCTCAGACTTCAATTTAATTTTAAACCCTTAACCTTTAAACCCTGTTGGGCTAAGGTTTAAAGGTTTCGGGCTTCCTTAGATTTAGGCATTTGAAGCGATTCGGGCAATTAACGCTAAGCCTTTGACCTTAAACCCGTATGGGGTTAAGATATTTGATGGTTTAGGATTTAAGTTTAAGGTTTAGGTATTTAGACCTATGTCGGCAGTTCATATTGAACCCTTAACCTTAAACCCTATAGGGATAAGATTTAAAGGTTTAGGATTCTTTACTTAGACATTTAAATCTAAGCTTGCAATTAAACCGAAACCCTTAACCTTTAAACCCTATAGGGTGAAGGTTTAAAGTTTTAGGGTTTAAGATTCAGACATTTAAATCTAAGACGGCAGTTCACAATAAACCCTTAACCTTTAAACCCTATAGGGTTAAGGTTTAAAGGTTTGGGGTTTAAGATTTAGGCATTTAAACCTAAGTATGTAATTAATTTGTCACCCTTAACACCCTTAAACTTTGTAGTGTGAAGGTTTAAAGGTTTAGGGTTTAAGATTTAGACATTTAAACCTAAGCCCATGGAGTTTAAACCTTAAGGGTTTAAGGCTTAGGCATCTATTCCTTAACCCTAAACCCTCTAGGGTCAGGACCCTAAAGCCCTCGGCAATCAAGCCGAAACCCTTGACCTTCAAACCCCACAGGATGAAGGTTTGAAGGTTTGGGGTTTAAGGCTTAGGCATTTAAACCTAGAGGGCATTTAAGCCTTAACCCTAAACCCTTCAGGGTCAGAACCTTAGCACCCTATAGGGATCGAGCACCTGCAGGTATACATCGGTTTTTAAACCATTACACCCTGTAAGAAGGTTTAGGGTCTTTTCGGGGTCTATCTCTAAATTTCTCACGGGGTTAACCCTGCAGGGTTTAAAGTTGAAGGTTTAGGATTAAAGGTTTAGGCATTACCTGAAGGATTAGAACCTTATAACCCTATAGTGCTTGAGGCTTAAACCCATAAAACTTAAATCCCTAGGGTTATGCCTAAGTTTCACAAAAAACCAAACACCAAACAAAAAAAGAAAACATCTTTTCCAAAACTATGGGGCTGGGGCCGCCAAAAGATTTTTTGTTTTCTCGAGAAAAAACTTGCTTTTTTGGTTCGAAACCATCATTTTCTCGAGAAAAAATGGTTTTTGGAGGTCTTCTCCTGGTAAAACCATCTTTTTCTCGAGAAAAGATGGTTCTTTCGAAGGATGGTTGCTCAAAACCATCTTTTTCTCGAGAAAAAAAACGGTTTCGAACCAAACGAACCATCTTTTTCTCGAGAAAACCAAAAAAAACCAAAATAGACCCAAAAAAACATCTTTTCCAAAGTATGGGGCTGGGGCCTCCAAAAGATGACTTTTTTGGATTTTTTGGGTTTTCTCGAGAAAAAGATGGTTTGTTGGTTCGAAACCATCTTTTTCTCGAGAAAAAGATGGTTTTGAGCAACCATCCTTCGAAAAACCATCTTTTTCTCGAGAAAAAGATGGTTTTTGGAGGTCTTCTCCTGGTAAAACCATCTTTTTCTCGAGAAGAAGATGGTTTCGAACCAAAAAAACCATCTTTTTCTCGAGAAAACCAAAAAAACCATCTTTTCGAGGCCCCAGCCCCATAGTTTTGGAAAAGATGGTTTTTTTGTTTTTTTGGGTTTTTTGGTTTTTGTTAGTTTCTTGTTTTGTTGTTTTTCCCTTGATCTGGCTAGGACTCGGCTGCCACCCGCGGTGGGTCCATTGGGGGGGGTGAGCTATATATATACACGTTAGATCAGATTAGATAATCTGAGTCGGAGGACAACTGCCACAGAAGCAGCCGAGCCACTTGGCCATGATGCCAAGTGCACAGATCTTCTCCTTAGTTTCAGGTCCATCTTGAACAATCTACAGAATCAAGGGGTTCTACCTTGAGCCCGTAAGGTTGTATCCCTTTTTAAGGATCCTCGAGGGAATATTGAGGTTGTATCCCTTAAGGATCCCTAAGGGAATTGGAAAAGAAAGGGCCAGATTAGGAGTGTATCAAGGGGAACCTTGAAGAGTACCACCTTGGGTGCACGAGTATTTCATCCCTTGTTGAAGCCATTGAGGAATGAATTTCTCTAAGGCTGTGGATCTCAGGCTGCGGAGCTGTTGCGAACATGTACGTGGCCCTGCTAGAACACGCGCGGAGGAGCAGGACATGCAGCTACAAGGGCTCAAGCAGGAAAGTTCAGATCTCTTCAGGCGAACAGCGAAGCAACCGAGGCTTGCTATCCACTTCGATCGATCCGAGATTGTGCAGGAAGCACCCGTCCTCAACACTTCCATGAGCCCTGACACTACTGCATGGGCCTGTATGCGAGGCCGGTGTAGGCGGCGATGCCCTCTTCCTCTTCTTTCCTTCCTTCCATCGTACGTCTCTCTCTCTCTCTCTCCCTTTCGTTCTTTCTGTAGTTCTTTCTTTTGTTCTTGATTCATCTTTTGTACTGGTGGTGTTTTTTGTATTTATTTCATTCTTTTGTCTCTCTTGCATTTGCTTTCTTCGGTTTATTCCTTGCTTTCTTTCTTCTTGATTTCATTTCTCTCTCTCTCTCTACTACCTAAGCCATATCATCACGAGACCCTTACAACACCCTAAAGCGCTTTTTTGGGGGAGGCTTCGAGCCGCCCCATTGACCGTTATAACTTATAACCCTTATAACCCTTATAACCCTTATAACCCTTATAACCCTAATGACCCTTATAACCCTAATCCCTAAATCAAAATCCCTAAACCCTAAGCCCTTTCCAAGCCCTAAACCCTAAACCGTGAACCCTAGAAACCTGAACCCCAAAGCTCAAAGAGGGCGCCAGGGCGCGGCCCACACAAGAGTTTTCGAATTGGGACTCCATACGTTGCTCTTGCCCAGGTCAAACCTGATGAGAAGTTGCAGGGCTTAGGGTTTTAGGGTTTAGGGTTTTGGGTTTCAGAAGTTTTTGGATTCCGAGCCGAGAGTTTGGGAGGTTGAATGACTTGGGAGTGAAGTGCTTGGAGTGTCTTGTTTAGGCTCTAATAAGGCTTTGGTCAACCCTAGCTACCAGTGCCTCGCAAGCTCTGCGCACCACCTACGCATGGTAAGGCTGAGGAGGACTTGCACACCCCTTTTGCAACAGGCTTGCCACCTCGCCCACTTGCACACCCCTAAACCCTTAACCCTACACCCCAATTTAACCCCTTAAGGCTATACTTGAACCCTAAACCCTAAACCCTAAATCCTAAACCCTAAACCCTAAACCCTAACCCCCCCGAAACACCGATAAGTTGCAGAACTCCGCTTAACCGACTTAGCAAGCAAGCGGCCACTGGTTGGCGATGTGCTTTCCCGCATCGTTGTGCGAGCGTAGGCAGTCATACTTGGCCTGGTTGTACATCGCATCAGTCATTTTCCCGCCGAAGAGAAGCAGTGCGTCGGCATGGGCAATGGCTTCGGATCCCAAAGCATTCTCGACTTCTTCGCGCGAACCTTCGTGGTGCAGCGGTGGCAAAGGATCGGCGACATGGAGGCCAAATGTCTCCAACAGCTTCTTCACATCTTCCAAGACCCTTGCTACGAAGGTCTGTTGGTGTTTGGCGGCGCCGAAGCTGGCCGCAGCCAGTCGAAGAGGCGCGGCTTGTGTCCGGACCTTGAAGGCACCAAGACGGTCAATTTGAAACAACGCCTTTGATGGTTTCTCGGCGCCGCTGATGACTGAATTCCCTCCGCTGATGACGAGATTTGGTGGCCGCAGCTTCCGAAAGAAGTGCTGGCTTTCCACCCGGCGTGGACGCATGGAAGGTTTGAAGATCTTGCTGCTCAGGCGGCTGACCTGAGACACAGGAACTCTCAAGGACTGTTGTTGGGCTACTATGCAACAAGAAGGGGTCTGCACAGCAACTTCTGCAACGCTCCCATATCGCGAGACCGGGGTTTAAACTTGCAGCCCCTCCCTTGCGATGCATGAAATCGAGTATCATAACACGTCAACTTGCACACAGCAGGTTGCAACGCTGAGCAGCTATGTCAGCTATAAGGAGTTATCTTCTGCTTGTGTCTCCCGCGATACCAAAAACCTAGCCATCACCACGCCCAAGGCCGCACCCTGTTTCAAGTCCCGGATTCACTCTCAGAGGTGTTTAGGGTCTATAGGGTTTAGGGTTCAGGGTTTAGGCTCTAGGGTCCACCCACAGAGACTCTGGAAACCAGTTTAGGGTGTAGGGTGTAGGGTGTATGGTTTAAGGTTTAGGGTTGAGGGTCCCCTCAGGCCTCATCAGCGATCATGCGCTGCCGCAGGCCTGCTTCAAGGATCATGATCGAGGGAGGCAGTGCTTGGAAACCTCGGCGCAGGGCTGCTTTTGAGGCTCGGTCCAGGGAGGGCTTGGGGGTGTTAGAGGGTTTAAGAAGGGGGGGGGGGGGTTTAGGGTTTAGGGTTTAGGGTGTAGGGTTTAGGGGGAAGGGTTTAGGCATGGCACGAAGACGTCGGTTCAACCTGCAACTCCCAAACACACACACCCTGAGTTGCAGAAGCCGCACGCAAGTCTGCAGGTCTGTGGCGCTTCCAAGGACTCCGTAACCCCGAACCCCCCCCCTAAACCCTAAACCCTAAACCCTGAACCCTAAACCCTAAACCCTGAACCCTAAACCCTAAAAGCCCTAAACCTTAAAAGCCCTAAACCCTAAAAGCCCTAAGCCCTAAACCCTAACCCCCCCCGCCCCAACGTGGCTCTACATCCTCGAGGATACAAATCCAAGGAGCTCTCCCACCCCTTGAGACCTCGCAACCTCTCCTCCTGCACTCGTCCCGTCAGGGAAGGCCTGGCAAAGCGCAGGGTTTGGGGGCTTTTCTATCCTGCCCAGCCGGACGAACCGCGCTGCACGACTGGTGTTTCATAGCGACTATACCAACACCACTCAATTGCAACTACAGCCAGTCTCCACTGAGCTTCAGGCACACGAGCTGTCGAATTAAAGGCCCACGCCGAAATTCACGTTTCTCGTCACGACAGGTTTAGGGGTTCAGAGTTGTTCAAGTCTGGTGGTTAAGTGCTTTACCGTACTCTTGTTGGAGGGCGGAGGACTTAAAACCCCTAAACCCTAAACCCTAAACCCTAAACCCTAAACTTTATAAACCCTAAACCCTAAAGCACCCATGAAACGGCTGAGGGCTTTGAAGCCCTGGTGTGCTTGTGGCGCTCCAATTCCTCCACTGGGGGTTTGGTCGCTCACACTGGGGCAAGCGGGGTGAGGCACATCCTGGGGTTTAGGGTTTAGTTTAGGGTTTAGGGTTTCAGGCTGTTTTGCGTTCGGACCTGCAACCCCTGACCCCCCCCATTTCCCGGCCCATCCCAGCCCCTAAAAATAAACTGCTGCGAAAATGCCCCATGCACATTGGAGTTTTGCTTGGAACGTCCATCTATTCATGTAGGCTGTTCATGAGAAATAGAGGGAAGTGATAGCCAAAGCCTGCCCAATGGCACGCCCAAAAACTCCTGAAACCCTAAACCCTAAACCCTAAACCCTAAACCCTCAACCCTAAACCCTAAACCCTAAACCCTAAACCCTAACTCGAAACCCTCAAGATCCCTCAAGCGACACCTGAGTGCATTCGCCACGAAGGTCATCTTCAGGTCTTTCCTCAGAGAAGCTTGGGTTTTAAGTACGGCGCAATACCCCTAAACCCTAAACCCTAAACCCTAAACCCTAAACCGAGGCCGCGAGGCCCCCCAAACCACAGATGGCCCAGATGGGAGGCGAATGTGCTTCGTGCGCGTAGGATGTTGCAGGTTCATCAATAGGGACCAAATGAACCCTAAAAGGGTTTTATGGTTCAAAAACTTTAATCGCAAGAATAGTAGAAAAGGGTTTGTGACCCCAATTTTACGGCAATTTTAGGGTTCCTTTGGTTCCCAAGGTAAAGATCACAGGATCGCCATACACGAAGTTAGTCGGGGGGGGGGGGGGGGGGGGGCTGTTTTGTCGTTTGCATGTGCATGCGCATGCGTGTGCAAGACAACACCCTTATAGCAAACTAGCTGTGCTGCGGGGTACGACACCATGGCTGCACAAGCTCAAACTGAGGGAGAAGACGGCAGATCCTGGAATGTCCAGACTTGCAAGAGACGTGGGATTGCAAGTGCTAAACCCTAAGCCCTAAGCCCTAAACCCTAAACCCTAAACCCTAAACCCTAAACCCTAAACTGCAGTGCTTAGGGCCTGAAAGCCTGTCAGGGAAGGCTAATCAAATTTTGGCGGTGCGCATGCAATCTCCGAGCTTCTTGTCTGGCCGGCACGTGGGCCACATGGGCCATAGAAATCTTAGCTGCCAAAATCACCAAGCTTCGCGTTGGTGCAGTTCTTGGAGACAGTGAGCAGCAGCTCGTCCACAAGAGCCTGTAGCACCAATGGGAAACCAACCACTCCAAGCCAAACCCCAAACCCTACAGCTCAACACTTGGCTGCACCTAGGAGGGTAGCTATAAACTGAGTTGTTAGCTGCCTTACTAGGAAACCCAATAAACCCAAAAAGGCTAAGGATCTAAAGTTACAGTAAAGCACCACAAAGAACACAAATAAGTCAAAACGTCTGGAGATGGAGGAGGCTAATGCAACCCGGCCATGTCTGCTTGCTGCAGGGGTCCCCGAAAACCCAGAACCCCAAACCTTAAATACCCTTGACCCCTTCAACTTGGGATGCTCCCCCTTATACTAACAGTCCTGAATAGGGATAATTATAATAGGTGGTACTATGATCCCTATCAAGGACTGTTAGTACAAGGGGGAACATCCCAACCTTAAATCCTCAAAGCCCTTGAGCCCTAAAAGCTCAGGCTTGTCGAGACAAGCTGAGGTGGCATCCACTTGACTCAACAACTGTGGCGTCCTCTCTCCGGATATCGATATCTAACTCTGTACCTACGTACATAAAAATAGACATATGAACAAAAGAAACAGCCGCACATATCCCACACTAAGAAAACAATATGTATACATACCTACACAGTGACACGCGCACGCATGCCCCCACCCTCCCCGCCCCTGCCCCCCTGCCAGGACTTGTGCTGGAGAAGTGTCCAAGCTTGAGGTTGGAGCTAGTCCAAGAAAAGTCTTCGTGTCCAGGATTCCAAGCGACCCACAGACCCATGGACTCTTTAAGGCTACATATTCGGTCAGGCTGTTAGGTCGCAAGCAAAGGGAGGGCGCCGCTTGCTGAAGAGGAGAGCCTACACCCCGACCCCCCCGCCCCCGAAGCACTGTGCCTTGGCAGTTGCGTCCTTGACCTTCGGTGTCTTCGTCATCTGCAGGAGATTCTGCTTTATGGACGGGGTCAGCGTGACGTTCTCTTTGTCTGGAGGCTCGCCTTGCGCAGCAAACTAGGCACACAAACGAGGGCTTGTACTGCTGTTTGCTTAAGTCTGTCTTTTTGGATGGGGGGGGTTCATAAGCAAATAGTAGTGCATGGGGTTTACAAGGCTCAGGGTTAAAAGGGGATTGCCCTTTTTGCGAAAACCCTCAGCCAGGTCGGATAGACCATGTGGAGGTTGTTAAAAAAACACGTGGGTCCCGATTTGTCTGGGACCTCTTATGTTGAAAAAACCCAGCAGCAGGAAACCTACTTTGGAACACTCCCCCCGACGGTGACTTAAGAGCTTCGGTGTCTCTGGTCTTGTCGCCAAGCCAAACCTTCCACAGCTTTCCACGCCCCCTGCCGCTCCAACACAAAACGTGATATGAAAGGAAGTCGTTTTCTTAGGGGCTGAATACCCTAGCCCCAAAAAGGTTAACCTTATGAATAAATATGGAAGATGTAGTCGAGTTGTATATCCCAACAAGGTTCAAGGTTACCTACCCAGTCTCTAGGTTTCATGCGCGCCGAAACATGGAAACAACGTATCTAAAAGGCTGCTGACTAAAAGCCAGTGCCACCTGCAGACGCGGTAAAGGTAAGCCACTTCATGCTTTGCAGGACCCTTGCGATATTTGATGCTATAGTATGACAAGATATCAGTACAAATATGAACAATACTAGGGGTCGTCAGCACAAAGAAAAACTAGACATACATGTATATACATATGTGCATGTGTGTGGTTTCCAAAGGCTTGTATTTCCTCTTATTGGGGCTTGAGAAGGATCACATCTCTAGGATTTGTCCAAGCTTTGGAGTAATAAAGAGTGCCCTTGATCTCCCTAACCCTAAACCCTAAACCCTAAACCCTAAACCCTAAACCTCCTTGACATCCGACATGGCGGCCCAGTGGCAGATGACCAGGCCTGTAAACCAGGGCTGCGCCGGCCCCAAAGGGCGCACCTGTGGGTCCAGGATTGTAGAGTAGTAGTAGTAGTAGTAGTAGTAGTAGTAGTAGTAGTAGTAGTAGTAGTAGTAGTAGTAGTAGTAGTAGTAGTAGTAGTAGTGGTAGTAGTAGTAGTAGTAGTAGTAGTAGTAGTAATAGTAGTAGTAGTAGTAGTAGTAGTAGTAGTCGTAGTCGTAGTCGTAGTCGTCGTGGGAGTAGTAGTAGTAGTAGTAGTAGTAGTAGTAGTAGTAGTAGTAGTAGTAGTAGTCGTCGTCGTCGTCGTAGTAGTACAGTAGTACAGTAGTAGATGATGATTCTCGCCGAGTCGGTGGCAAGTACGGATGGCTGGTCACACCTCAAACCCGCAGGGTTGAGGGTTTAGGGTTTGACTCCTGAACTCAGCAAGGCTTTTGACAAACTCGGTGTCTGGGCGAACATACTCACCACGACCATGCTTCTACAAGCCTGCAAAATCACGTCCATGCTGCCCTTGTTTAAGCACGGACTGAGGATACCGCCCTAAACCTGAAACCCCGAACCCTCTAAACCCTTAGCCCTTTTTAACCCTTTTATCCCTTGAAACCCTTTAAACTCTTGAAACCCTTTTAACCCTCACCCTTAACACCCTTTCTAACCCTTTTAACCCTTAACTCGAAACCCCCAAGCCCTAAACCCTAAACCCTAAACCCTAAACCCTGAAGATCCGGCATGGTGTGAATCAGCCTTGAGGCCAACCAGCGAAGCCATCGCGGTCCTTTTCTGGCCGCCCAAAGTTTTCTCCTGCGCAGGATGTTGAGATGCTTTTAGGGTTTAGGGTTTAGGGTCTAGGGTTTAGGGCTTAGGAGTTAGGGTTTTAGGCCTTTGGGGTGGTTTTCTCCTGTGCAGGATGTTGAGATGTGTTTAGGGTTTAGGGTCTAAGGTTCAGGGTTTAGGAGTTAGGGTTTTAGGCCTTTAGGGTGGCTTTCTCCTGTGCAGGACCGTGAGCTGGGGTTTAGGGTCTAGGGTTTAGGATGCAGGGTTGGAGGTAGTGAAAGTGTCTGCTGCGTGTGTCGGCCCCAATATCCGTCAGACCGCACAGGCAGACTACACCTGAAGAGCGCTAGCAAGCCAACCACTTCCTTTTCCCTTGCAAACCCTGGAAAGCAGAAACCTTACCCTGGATTCGCCTGTGATCTGAACTTGTCCGCTTTTTGCAAGGAGACGCGTGGGCTACGACGCCCAGGAGCTTGTGCTAGCTGTTGTTTGGATGTTCCCCCTTCTACTAACAGTCCTTAATAGGGATTATAGTACCCCCGATTTTAATCCCTGTTAGTATAAGGGGGAACATCCCAAGTTACAGTATCCGTTAAGAAGGGGCCCTGACAACCCCCTTGCAAGCAGAATGCCCGAAAAAAGGTGGACAAACAGGAACCCGGCCTCCGGGGCATAGAGCTCCTGCTCAAGGAGAACCCCTAAACCCCTAAACCCCTAAACCCCTAAGCCCCTAAGCCCCTAAGCCCCTAAACCCCTAAACCCCTAAACAACTAAACCCCTAAACCCCTAAACCCTAAACCCTAAACCCATACGAACCCTAAGCCTTGGGGATGTTTCGGGGTGTCGGGTTGTCGGCTGCAGCGCACAAGTGGCGAAGCCTGACTCGTTGTGTTCGAGGAGCCCGGGAACTTCTCAGAGCCCAGGAAGAGGCGGTGAGTAGGGTTTAGGGTTTAGGGTTTAGGGTTCAGGATTAAGGGTCTAGGGCCTAGGGTTTAGGGGTTTAGGGGTTTAGGGTTTTCGGTTTAGGGCTTAGGGCATCTCGAGATTTTGCGGGTGTAAGGGTTCAGGCCTCCGGCTCTTTCAGCCACACGCAGTGAGCCGGGCCACAAAGAAAACAGAAGCCCCTTAGCTTCTAAACATCCCAAGTGGGATGTTCCCCTTATGCTAACAGTCCTTAGTAGGGATCCTAGTACCACCTATTAAAAATTATCCCTACTAAGGACTGTTAGTATAAGGGGGAACATCCCAAGTTTACGAGGTCAAGGGAATTTAAGGTTTGGAGTTCATATCCCAATTAAGGAGCTGCTAAACCCTAAACCCTAAACCCTTTTTGCAACTGGACTCCTAAACCCTAAACCCTAAACCCTAAACCCTAAACCCTAAACCCTAAACCCTAAACCCTAAACCCTAAACCCTAAACCCTAAACCCTAAACCCTAAACCCTAAACCCTAAACCCTAAACCCTAGCATAAGCGGGAATATCCCAAGGTAAACATCCCAGGCCTATACATCGGTCAGCCCTGGCCTTCCAGTAACCCTAAACCCTAAACCCTAAACCCTAAACCCTAAACCCTAAACCCTTCCAGATAAAAACTCTCTAACCCTAGGAGGGGCCCCCTAGTTATCAGTAGAGCTATAAGATCCCTAAATTGGGTTTCAAGGATCCTAAATTAGGTTATAAGTCCCTTAGCTACAGTTAGTATAGTAAGGGGGCCCCCCTTGTAGCCCGGCAAACATATTAAAACAAGGGCGCCTGTTTTCTTTTTTTTTGGGCCGGGGCGGGGGGGGGGGGGGGGGAGGGTTACTTTATAAGGGAACCTTGAACCAGCAAAAAGGTGAGAAAAAGGTACTATACCTGGCTGCCAAGTACTTTGCTTAAGAACCCCAAAAAAAGGAAATGATAACCCCTAAATTTACCTTAATAAGGAATAATATTTTTCGGATTTCTGGGTTCTTAAGCAATTAGTAGAGTGTAGGCCCTAAACCCTAAACCCTAAACCCTAAACCCCTAAACCCTAAACAGTTGGGCCTGGTCCAGAGTTGGTGCGACATGGGCTTTCCCGTCCAGGAGGATGCCTCGGAAGTGATACCTCCCGAGCTTCGAGTTGCAATTAGGGTTTAGGTTTAGGTTTCGGGTTTGGGGTTTTAGGGTGCAGGTCCATAGCCCATACAGTTCCGTAGGCTTTGGGTGTTGTGGTCTAGGGGCCTGTCTTGGGCCTCACTTGAGTTCAAAGCTTGAGTGTTGTGGTCGAATAGGGCTTCAGTTGAGTTGAGGGCTTGAATCTAGCGGCTTAGGGTTTTCACACCTCTGCCAATACCATAACACAGCGTTCGGGGTTGCCTTTGCTGCCCCTGCTAACCCTAAACCCTTTTTTGCCCTAACCCTAAACCCTAAACCCTAAACCCTAAACCCTAAACCCTAAACCCTAAACCCTAAACCCTAAACCCTAAACCCTAAACCTACAGCATGGTAGGGTCTAGGGCTGAGAGGCCTACGTGATGCATGGGATTTTAGGGGACTTATGGGCATAGGGGTTTGAGGTTTAGGGTTCATGGGGGTGTGATCACGGGTTCAGGGGTTTGTGGCATAATTATGTACTTTATATAGTCCCTATATACCTAAGTAGCTCCTAAACCCCCTTAATCACCCCAAAGGTCCCTCATAAGGGCCCCCTTTAAGTCCTTGAAAAGGGTTTGGTGGGTGCGCACCTTGGCAACGCTTCGTATCGCTTTCTTTGTGGATGACCTGGCAGCTTCCCTAAACCCTGCACCCTCCACCGCCCGGAAGGCCAAAATAGGGTTTAGGGTTTAGGGTTAGGGTTTAGGGGGGTCCCAAGCTTGCACACCATGAGACATGTAGAAGCCTGAACATTCCTGCGCCCACCGCTTAAGCTTAGAGTTTGCGGTTGGGCCCCCTTGTAGATAACGATACTACCTTCAAGAACAGGTTCTTTAAAGAAAGGAAGCCCAGCTGAACTACTTTGGTGTATACAACAAACCTCTAACTATCCTGCACCTGTACGAGTCGGAACGATCAGTTTAGCAGCAGTCCATATGTTTCGCAGAGGGTAGTGATAACCTTGGGTTCGAAAACTACCTCAGGATAGTTTTTAAACTGATCGGTACAGAATAATCTGCTTGGGCTTCGGGCTTTGTTCTTGTGTTGTGGCATGAGATGCAAGCCTGAAAAGGGGATCCCAACCCTGACCTCCGTGCTCTGACCCTGAACCTCCTGCCAATGCCTATACGCCCTAACCCCAAGCCCTGACCCTACCCTAAACCTAAACCCTAAACCCTAAACCCTAAACCCTCCTGAGACCCTGAACTTCTGAAGCAGCTCGAGGTTCATGACTCAAGCCATACAAGATCCCAGGTCCATCTTATCACCAAAATAAAATCGTTGCAAGACGGCAAAGGCACATTGCTTCTTAGCAACCTTCAGGGATTGTGAAAGTGCAGAATTTTCATGTGGGGCCCTAAACCCTAACCCTAAACCCTAAACCCTAAACCCTAAACCCTAAACCCTAAACCCTGTTTCAAAGGCAAGTGGGCACCTCTCGAGGGGTCGACAAGTCGTTTCTGCCCTCCTCCGCATGGCACAAGAGCATCCGCCAGCACTGAACTTCTCGGCTAAATATAGGGGCCTTGATAATTAGGGGGTTTAGGGTTTAGGTTTAGGGTTAGGGTTTAGGGTTTAGGGTTTAGGGTTTAGGGTTTAGGGTTAGGGTTTTATGGGGGGCCTTAATAGTTAGAACAGTGTTTTGGGGGGGGGGGTTTTGAGAGTATATTCATAAAGAGGCCATAAGGGAACACTATGAGTAATTATTCCGACCCTATATATTATCATTCAAGCCTTCGGCTACCAACTGCGGCCTCAAGCCCGCCTTAAGGACCTGTCATGCGGGGTCCAACTCCATCAAGCAACAGGCATGTGCACATGAAGAGTACGGTAGCCCCCCCCCCCCCCCCTCCCCCCGTGCCACACCAAATTCAACCCTGAACCCTGCACTGTACTCCTGAATTCTCAACTCCTAAAACCCTGTATGTCCTCAACCCCTCAAGCCCCAAACCCTCGAAGTTCTTGCCTCAAGATGCCTCGAGGGGCCGGAAAAGCTGAACCCCGTACCTAAAATCCAACTGAGCTCGAAATTCCCATAGGGTTAAGGGTCAACCCAAAGGCCCCCGCCCCCACCCAAGTCTGGTCCCCAAAAGCCTCCAGAAACCAAAATAGCTACATCCCAGACTGAACCCTAAACCCTAAACCCAAACCCTGAACCCGAAACCTCTAAACCCTAAACCCTAGCGTGGGCTCCAACTCCAGCAGGGCGCCCAGGAACCTCGCATACTCCTTGGTGGAGAGGTTTTGTTTTTGTTTTTCTCCACCCGCGTTTGGGGTTTAGGGTTAGGGTTTAGGGTCTCGGGTCTCGGGTCTCGGGTCTCGGGTCTAGGGTTTAGGGTTTAGGGTTTAGGTGGTTTTGGGATCGGGGTTTAGGGAGGGGGGGGGGGAGGGAGAGGGTGGCCCCATACTACCTGTAAGGATGACAAGGTATTCGGGTACCACGGTACCCCTGTTTTGGGACCCGAAACTTAGGATGTTTCCCCTTTGAAACAGCAGCCTTTCTACTCATAGGCAACTATTTTAAGGGGCCTATTGTCATTATAAGGGTATTTTAAATACCAGTTCACCAGGCTCTTACATTCGACTGGCAGTTCGCCTCCAGATCTATTTTGTGGTCCTAAACCCTAAACCCTAAACCCTAAACCCCAAACCCTAAACCCTAAACCCTAAACCACCCCCAAACCCCTCAAACTTCAAGCCGAAACCCATCCGAACCTTAGCTGCCAGACTTCTCCCATGCGGATCAGCAAGAAGATCCTCAAGTCCTACTAACCCCCTCCCCCCTTGAAGCCTCAGCCTTCTCAAGACAAAGTACACAAAAAGCGACTAAATGCCAGGTCATAGAGAGCACCCTGAGACTAACCCTAAGCCTCAAGCATCCACGCTACCACATCTTCCAAAACCCCTGGAATTAAGGAATATGCCCTAATCTGAATCCATACTAAGGATCCTTATTCTGAATTAGGGTCTATTCCTTGGCAAACTAGGATGGTCCTTAAACCCCTCTGAAAAATATTCCTGAATATGACCCCTCTGAAACCCAATAAGGGAAAATATAAAATGTCCCAAGGGCCTACCTAGTAGAGGGCTTTTGGAAGATCTGGGTTCCCCCCGTCATGGCACTAGCTCGGTCAGGTCCGACTCGTCAATGGGGTTGCAGCTGCTTCCACTGTCGCGGTGTGGCTTCAAGGGGTCCTGTGGGCGCATCAGGGTTTACAGGGGATTTGGGGGGGGTCCCCGAAGAGTCGGCTTAGAATGAATTAGAGAATCTTCCTTAACTCAGGGGTTCTGAAGCTTAGGCGCTCAGGTTGTAGGGATGGGTAGGCTCTCAGGTTGTAGGGATGGGGAACCTTTGCCAGGATCTTGATGTAGGGTCTCGACCACCCCACATCAACCAACACCAAGCCATCTAGCAGACTTGCTTCTTTATCAAGCAGACAGATTCTGGAAGTACGATGTATTTTGGCAGCCACCACTGCTGTCTGGATATGGAGAAATAAATATTAAACCTCCACGCCCTCAAAACCCATGATCTCGGTCTACTTCTAAGCTCCGGAGTTGCAGCCGCACATATCCTGCAATTTGGGCTGGAGTTGGCTTGCAGAGGCGCTTGTAGGCTTAGGACGTTTCAGGCATCACCCTGGGCGAAGAGCGTGCTTTGAGGTTTTGGGATTCGGGGCCTTCAAGTTCAGCACGAGCTTGTAACCCAGTTTGACACGTCCGACATAGGTCCATCCTTGCGTGGGGCAGCGCTGAGATATAGACACGTGTAAAAAGCATCGCAGGAACCACCATACACATGCATGCAAAGGTTAGAGCCACTGCGGCCATTACACGCGTCGTGCGGCAATCAGCTAACTAGCCGCCACCGGTGAGCTAGATTGCTCCGGAGGGCGCACCTGACCCCGGATGTTCAGCAGACACTGTCCGGCTCACCGTAAGTTGGCCGTACGCCAGAGAATTCTCTGCCCCAAAGAGCCGAAACTGCTCTACCAACCAAGCTGAGCCCAAAAATGGGGTTTTAGGGTTTTTCGGGTTCAAGGTTCAGGGTTTGGGATTAGGTGCCAAGGCTCCATCATTATAGCCAAAGGCCCAGGGCGTGTTTTTCTCCTCGCTGGGCTCCACCTTGCCTTTGCAAGCCCAGATCCTGAGGCTCACACGGAGTCGAACCCCTAAACCCTAACCCTAAACCCTAAACCCGGTTGACTTTAGGGCCCAAACTGAACACATAATCCCCACAAGTCGAGGGATAAAGGTACCCCTAAGGATGTACCCCCTAAGAGGTGCCCTGATTGCACCTTATGCAAATTTTGAAATAATTCCAAATACGTGTGCACTCCCAATTTCAGGGTCCAAGGGAGTGTCCCATGAGTACCAAGGCAGGCCGCTGGTAGCCCTCCAGCAGGCCCCGCGGAAGCTCGAAGAGATCCGCGTTGAGGCCTTCTTGGATTCGACCAAAGGGCTTCCGAGTAACTAGGGGGGTAGCGGGTAGGGCAACCCTAAACCCTAAACCCTGAAGGCTTGGGGGGGTTACGGGGGGTGACTTAGGCTTGTGAATTTTGGGGGTGAACTGGGTTTATTAGGAGGTATGGGCTTGGGGTTCAAAGGGTTTTGGGTTCTATAAGATTCAGCACGGGCCGGGGCCCTGTTTGGAACCAACCCTTTCAACTCCCTCTTGTCCCTGAACCCTTGAACCTGAACCCTAAACCCTAAACCCCAAACCCCAAACCCCAAACAAACGTCTTTTAACTCCCCTCCGGCGCCTTTCACTTTCAGCGGCGCCGCCTTGGCTGCCCGCTGCGTCGCGGCACGAAGGGGTGGCGCGGACGACCTAGGAACTTAAACTGAGCCTCTCCCGCTATTTCAGGTTATGGAACTACCCTAAACCGCCTGAACCCTAAAAACCTAAAAACCCTAAAAACCCTAAAAACCCTATAAACCCTATAAACCCTATAAACCCTATAAACCCTATAAACCCTATAAACCCTATAAGCCCTATAAGCCCTATAAACCCTATAAGCCCTATAAACCCTATAAACCCTATAAACCCTATAAACCCTATAAACCCTATAAACCCTATAAACCCTATAAACCCTATAAACCCTAAACCCGAACACGCACAAGACAACATCTGTGCGAAGCGTGGGAGGCTTCGGGATGGGATGGCATTCTCTAAGAAAGAATACTTGAAGTGAAGATTCGCGGTACTTTCTTTTGAACCCCACTACTTTTTAACCCAACTACTGTACTTACAACCCAATTATAACAACATTAGGGCACTTAGAGGCTTGTAAGTGGGTGATAAGTGCAGTTAGAATTGGGTTATAAGCTATAAGTAGCATGAACCTCCAAGTCCTTGAAAGGAGACATGGGCGGAGATGTCGGCATACCCCCTTATAAAGGTGAGGTGACAAATGGTGAAAACGAGGTATGGCCAAAAATTCTCAGCAGCGTTAAGCGGTACACTCCTGTAATTGCCTGCAAGAAGCGGCACCTTGAGTTCCAAAACCTACTTCTTTCGCAGGTTACGTGAGGAGCGTGTAGGGGCTTTAGAATCATGACCTGCAAAACAGTAAGATAGGGGTTCTCAAAACCCTGCTTTGCTTTCAGAATGTAGGCAGGGCCCCTGGGCCCGGCCTCCGACCCCGGCACGTCCCTAACCCTAAAGCCCTAGGCCCTGTATACCCGACAGCCCTAAACCCTTAACGCCAACTCCTAAAATCCCTACAGTCCTAAGCCCTATGAACCCCTAAAGGCAACACCCTAAACCCATCTCCCTAAACCCATATCCTTGCCTTGCCTTGGCCGCGCAGGTGGGGTCACCGATGCTGGTGGGCGCACAGTGCGGGGCGTTTCCTCGAACCCCGCCTAAACCGCATGTAAGCCCGCATGGAGGACATTATTTGCATTATATATATATATATATGTATGTACACACACAATATAGACATACATATGTGTATAAACACATGTACACACATGTGCACTTACACCCTTCATGGGTTGGAGGCGTAGGGCTATGCGGCTCTCACACACACGAGGCAGGCAAGGAAGGGTTTAGGGTTTAGGGTCTTTTATAGAACAGAACCGACTGTCGTAAAAGCTATAAGTGTGTTCAAAGAACGGTCCGGAAGCTTCCCCAAGACTCCACGCACAAACTACCCCCCAAAAGGTTGGGGGGGGGGGGGGGGGTGGCCAAAGCCACTACATCTAGGGGTGTTTGGGTGCTTGGGTCTCGGGGGATTTGCGATCCGTATCCCCCCAAACTCCCTAAACCTTACACAACGAACCTCTGGTGTTCAAGGGATCCAGCAGTGGCATATCCTAGATGTCAGAGGGTCTTTGTTATTGAGTCAGAGGCTTTTGAGCATTTGGTTTGGGGAGCGTCAGGCTCACGGATGGCTCTGAACCAGAATCATTCGGTCCTGTCTGCGAGGAGCCCTGGCAGTGGAAGCGCTTGCATGCACAACCTGGGTAGCAGGCGCGCACTCCCTTGCTCAGGCGGTTGAGGAAATTGATGCATACTATACCACCAGAAGCCCAGTTTCATTGCAATGAGTGCATTGGGCAGTTTAAGGTACTTAATGAGTGTCTAGGGGTACAAGGGGACAATATTGATGATTATTGACGCCCCTGTATGGCTTGATCCGTATCAGCCCATTAGGCTCCAGGCAATTGCTGGGGGGCTCTGCTGGAAAGACTGCAATTCATGATGACAGCTTCATTTCAGGCCTGCTGCTTGGGGCTTTCCGCCAGGCATTGCAAGCAAGGCACCCGAGTACCAGGAGGATGCCCATTGCCATTTGGGGGCTTTGTCCGGGTCGGCGCTGTTCGCTGGCGGGAGGTGGCTTTGGAAGTGGCAGCGGCAGCATAGTTCAAGAACTCTGCGGCGTAAGGCTGGTCCGCCAAATTCTGCTTGCACCACTCTGTGTACCCCTTATCCTTGGCAACTTCCCTGAAGGTTTTTTTGCCCTTGTGCTTTCCGAAGCTCATGAGCTCATCCCCGAGAGCATCCTGGTCAGGTGGCCCGACACGCAGACAGGTCCTGGCTGGTCGCAGGGCAGTGACCCAGCCAGTAAAACAGGCATGGCCTGCTCCCAAAGCACAAAGGGCCAGTGCCAGACCAGTCCAGAAGCTTCCGCACGACGCGCGGCTTCGCCGGGGCATGGCCAGTCCTATCTACCCTGCTGCCACTGTACAAAGAAATCCCCTCAAAAATGGCGGCGGCCCTTACTTATGCATCACATGTCCCCATGCCCCTAAGCAGGAGGCCGCACTGCCGCACCATGAACCTCAGCAAGCTCAGCCAACATCACTCGAAGTGAAACCTGCGGAGCGGTGGATCTCCTGCTCCTTCTGATAGAGCTCTCCACAAAGCGTTGATGCTTCCATGGCGCATTCCTTAGCTCCGGTCAGTGTCGCCACATTGAGGTTTCAAAGTCGGGTTCCAAAGCCAGGCTGCGTCAGGCTGCTTGCTAGCCCACTACTGGTTTCAGGGTTTAGGGTTTAGGGTTTAGGGCGCATGGCGCACGTCATGGAAAACGTCAGCTCTCGACTCGCGCGGGAACCTAGTAGGCAAGACCTGAGGTGCCAACGACCACCACGCCGGTCACGTTGTTCCTTCACCCGGCTTGCGCGAGTGTGCCAGGTTTAGGGTTTAGGGTTTAGGGTTTAGGGTTTCCCCACGGGGAGGGTGGGGGGAAGTTATATACCCTATACTACTTATCAAACCCTTATCGTCATTTGGTTCCCAAGGTTGCGTCCCAGTGGATTCATGACTAGGATGGCCCCTTAAACCCCTCTGAAAAATATATTCCTGAATATGACCCTCTGAAACCCAACAAGGGAAAATATAATAATTGCCCCAAGGGCCTACCTAGATGAGTACTCTAGAATAGCAACCTAAATAACCCTAAACGCTAAACCCTAAACCCTAAACCCTAAACCCTAAATTACCCTAAACCCTAAACCCGCGACGGGCTCCAGACCTTCTCTATCCTTCGGGCTTCGCCTCGGGCAGTCCGTCTAAACACCTCCCGGTAGATCTGAGGCTTTGCCTAGGAAATTTGAGGGAGTAGCCCTGTACCTTCCTTAGAGCCTTTAGCCCTAAACCCTAAACCAAATTTTAGGGCGTGGTGGTGTTGGAGAGCACGTATGTGTATGAGGGAACAAGTACTTAGATGCGTCGACTTCTCTTGCCGAGGGTCATCAACGCCAGGACGACCACGCAGTAGAACACGGCAAAGATCAAGACCTGATAAGGTTGCGTGAGGACGTTTGGGGGGAAGGGTGGCCGCCGTGGTTCTTCCCGACGTTGCTTTGGGCAACGAGAGCGGGTGCTTCAGTGGCAACCGCCGTGTGTGCCAACATCGATGACCCAAAGAACTTGGTGCAAGCCTTGCACACTGGTTCTCAAGAGTCATGAACTCCCAACAAGCTTGTTCTCAGCACTTTCTCAGCACTGCGACACCAAGCTAACACAATGATGAGATGAATTCGGAACAATCTGGAACCTAAATCATGCACACGGAAATCCGGTCATTTGTGTCGCTGGCGCGCGTTGCCGGAGCGTGGCTGCGGCAGCACCGGCAGTCGTTGTCATGAGGAGGGTTTAGGGTTTAGGGGTCGGAATAATTACAGTTATTATTCCCTCATGGTCCCTTCGGAATTAAACTATCATGACGAACCCAACTCTAGTAAATTATTTGCGCCCCTATATTTAATATAGGGGCGTTAATAATTGGCCCCAAGCAACTCTGCCCCGTGTGAGAGAACGTGTCTGGCATACTGGGCTCCCGACAACTATGGGATCCTTGCGGGGCGCACACTGCAACGACATGGGGGGCTTCCGAAAATGTGAAGAAGGGGCTCCTTTAAATGGATTTTATAGTATTTTGGGGTACACAAGGGGAACCCTATTTCCGGAAATCCCCACATAGCTCTTGGAAAAGCTTACCACGCTTCAAGGTACTGTGCAGTGTGCAGCACTTCATTGCATCATCAACTCAAACGACATGGGACAACCCAATCCAGGGTTTATCTAAGGGTTTAGGGTGTTTAAGGGTTTAGGGTTTAGGGTGTATAGGGTTTGGGGGAGACATTGAGCAGCGAGTGATTCAACCATCTGACACGAGGATAGCAACAGCGGGAGGCCGTGTTGCAGAAACCGTGCCGGGGGCAACCTCCGAAGCCCCTCATTCCGCACATCTCCCTCAATCTTCCTTCAAACCTACTATTTGCTTTGAGAACCCTTAGGAAACAACAAATCATCGCTATATTGCCCTTGTAAGGAGAATGTTGCATTTCAAAGGGTCCATGTACCTCATTACAGTATACCTGGGCAGGTACTCTAAGGCCCAAGTATTCCCTATTGAGGTACATGGACCCTTACTTGGAGGCTCATGGTACTCATAAACCAACGATAAATCCCTGAAGTGCCCTAATGACCCTAATGTGGGTCTCATTGGGTTACAAGTACAGCTACAATTGGGTAGTTCAGTACCATGAACCTCCAAGTGGTTATAGTTGTCCTGAACCCTAAACCCTAAACCCTAAACCCTAAACCCTAAGATTCGTAGAAGCCAGGGGTCATTCTGCACCATCGGCCACACCACAGAATCGGCCCACTTGTCGCGCAGCAGAACTTGAAACATCGTGATCACCTTGGGTTTAGGGTTTAGGGTTTAGGGTCTTAGGGGTTTAGGGTTAATTTGAGGGCGGGGGGGGGGGGTTAGGGGGTTTTAGAGCAGGGGATGCTGCTGATCCTAGGGTTGCTGGGTTTGTGAAGGCCCCGCTGTTTACACATGGGCATTCCCAAACATGGGGGGTAGTACCGCCTTAGATACCCCAAAATACTCTACTTCGGTTTAGGGTTTCATTGCTGCGTAATTTGAGGAACCGGCCCAAGAAGGGAAACCCCTGAATGGGTTCCAAAGCCCACTGAGGCCGAAGGCCTTGCATTCTGGATTAGGGTTTAGGGTTTAGGGTTTAGGGTTTAGGGGTTCTGGAGGGGTTCTTGGGTGGGGGGGGGGTTGCTTTATCGTGGGTTAAGTGTTTCAGGGCTTGTGTTTTGTTTGCCACCCGCCTTAGTTTTCTGACCGACGCACTGCGGAGGGTTTGGGGTTTGGGTGTTTTTGGGTTTAGGGTTTAGGGTTTAGAGTTTAGGGTTTAGGGGTTTAGGGGTTTAGGGTTTAGGGGTTTAGGAGGCTCTCTCGCATGATCGCTTGCTCCCTTCCCGTTCCGGCAAGTGTGGGCTGGAGGTCTTGAGCTGCCGCCGAAGAGCAGTCCGGCCTGCCAAGAGAAACTCTGAACACCCCGTGAGGCATACAGTGAGGGTTTTGTTAACCAAGCACGAAAACATTTTGGGTCCAAGAATAGTGGGCTTGCATATCTTACATCAATTGGGGCACACCGTAGCAGGGCAGCCGGGCGGAGCGGCGCAATTCGCGGTTTATCTGTGACAGTCAGCTCGAGAGGAGCAGCTAGACAACTGCCAACTTCGATCAAAGTCTTGTCCCTCAACAGTTCGCCAAGTGGGACGTCTGTCTTACTAAACTCCTTCCAGAATCCCTTCGAGTCATTTTCTAGTCCTTCCTGAGCCTCGCCGAATCAAATCCCTGACTCTGCCTCTCTGCCTCTCCGCCTCTCTCCCTCTCTCATAACACGCCACCTGCAGAAGCTTCGCAACGTCACACTCCAGTCCCCATGTGAGGCACCCTCTGTCTCTCTTTCCGGCCACAATTGAAGATGACATACTTGGCTAGGCAGGCGAGTCAAACCACGTTTCCCAGGTTCCACTACTCTTTCTCGCCAGTCCGCGACCGTAAACCCTTCTGATCCCAAAACCCTAAAACCGCCAACGCACTTTTGTTTGCCAAACCTTGGGATGTCCCCCCTTGTCCTTCATAAGCATTACAGTACACCCTATCATAATCCCTATTAAGGACTGTTAGAAAAGGGGAGAACGTCCCAAGCTAAACCTTTCATGAGCCCTGCCGGCCTACTGAGCCCCAATAATCCTCCTTGGTCCACACAGTGCGGCTGAGGTCAAAGTCCTGGAGCATGCCAGGCCGAGGGGACAGGATTGGACAATATAGAGGCCTCATCAAATATCCTTGCTCAACTTCCTTACGACCTCGCAAATCTCTCGAAGGCCGAAATAACTTCAAAGTCCTACTACGACCAGCCCCGCGCTCTTAGACACGAAGCTCTGTCATGGTCTGCGGGTTTTGCATGTGGCGGTTGGATCTAAAATCCCGGCCCTTGCGGTGGCTCTGTGAGAGAAACTGCTCAGCTGAAAGCTTCAGTGTTCCCAACCTCTCTGGTGCCTCTCCGACATTCAGAACCGATAACTCGAAGCGCAAACCTCCTAAACCCTAAGCCCTAAACCGACTTGCGGGTCCAGTTTGGGATCCGTCAGCACCGAAATAGTGATGAGCACGGACATAACCCAGGTGGTGCCGACGATGAGGAAGCCGCACCAACTTCGAGCAGGGCTTTGAGTGACTAAGCTTTGGAATGTTAGGGTTTAGGGTTTAGGGTTTAGGGGTTAGGGTTCAGGGTTTCGGGTTTGGAGGTTCATGGTACTTCAAACCCAATAACCACTGTGCTTATAGCCCAAATACAACCATCTAGGGGCACTTGGGGGCTTACAAGTGGGTCATAAGTACAGTCATTATCGGGTTGTACGTACCATGAACCTCTAAGTTGGAATGTTCTTGCTTAAACTTACATGTTTTGGGAGCGGGCTGTGGTCGTAGTGTGCATGTCATGGGCTCGCAAAGTCTTCCAGAGAACTACAACATTCGTTGCTTTGACTCGGCAATGCCCTCTTTGGAAATTACAGGGTTGAAAGTTGCTTTGGGCATCCCGTTTGGCGGAAGCCAAATGAATCGATGTTGTGAGTGTTGTGACGGGCTTCACCGCAACATGTCGTCTACCAGAGCTTCAGAGACGAGCAGCAACAAAGTCAGCAGCGTCTCACGTAGCAGGGAGATCACGATCCACAGCCTAAGTGGGACGAGAGATGGACAGTTGTTGATTGTCGGGTCCCTTTTCGGGTCCGATATCTAGCACAGCACCCTTTAAAAGCAGGACCCCAAAAGGGACCCTAATTTGAAGAACTTCCCAGACACTGCCTGGAATAACAGAACTGACCTCAGCTGCAA